ACTTGGCTATCAAAAAATTGATTATGCCTTCTGTGATACTTACATGGGCTATAATGCACAATGCAATTTAAGAGATGTGGGCAAAATAGATGGAGAGGAGAATACAACCTCCCAGCCAAGGACAAGCCCAGAAAGAAAAAGGAAAATAGATGGAAAAGAAAAGCTACATGAGCACACTCTCGAGTTAACTACATGCCCTACACACACAACTCATACATGCATGCATTGAATCTTCATTAAAAACTTAACTAGAAGCTGTAGTACATAAGATACATCGCATGCAAGTCATACCTGACTTGGCATCCTCATCTTCATCATCCTCCTTCGCACCATTATCATACTCGTAGTTTAACTCTAGCTGACGAGTAGTCGCTCTAGTGCCTCTCTTGCTATTGCTGGTATAAGCAACATCCACAAGGCAAGTAGTGTGATGGGCATGACAGCAAAAGAACAAGATGACTGACACATTTTGTATGGAGAAAGGATCAAAACAAATGCAACATCTTGCACCTCCCCCTGGTTTTTGACTGCACTTCGATGTTTATAATACTAAGTGCTTTCTCTATTGCCTAACAAGTCCTACCCCCGTCCCTTTTTGCTCGAGCATTATCTTCTTCACTGCTCAAGCAAACTGCACATCTTGCTTCTTCGTAATATTTAACCAAGAGGTTAATACAATCAGCCTGTATGTTTCACATTTATAAAATAAATCAAGTTTTTTACATTTCCATAAATAAAGCCTGCAACATACGATGACTGCAAGTGTACCTTGAGAATGTCATTACACTCATGTCTAGGAGATGTTTCTGTTCTGTAATCAGTAATAATTTTGACTAGATGATTCCTGAGCCCGTAGATAACGTAGATACCGGAGTAAATTTACCATGATTCTAATAACAGGGATGTGGGTAAATCTTTATAGGCTGTTCAAGTAATTGTTCTTATTGGGGGGATCAAGTCATCCCATTCCTGCCAGCATGTGGCAAGAGTTAAAACCACGAGGCTATTCTTCTTTAAAATTGTTAAAACCATATCATGCATGTTGTTTATGTATGGTCTCCTTGAAATCTAATCAAAAGATAATGACAATCCAGGCAGTGAGCCTGTTCCAGAACAAAACCTCCCTGAAATATGACATGTTCAGATTTCTTTTTCTCTTTTCTGTTTTATAAAGAAAAAGGGACTAACTATTTCCAATTTGCGAAACCAAAGTTTCCCTTGACAAAAGAGAGAACACACCGAACTGAGGTATCTATAGGACATTAGGCAAAATGTTTACAATATAGAGAGGATCAAGATTGCCAACTGTGTGTTCTAATAAGACTCAACTTCCCAGTTGGTGAGAGAACTAAGAGAGATCACAAAATTACAAATTTAAATATGATACAACTATCAGAGAAGCAAGTATCTCCTGAGTCAGCACAAGGTATCATTACCATTTCAGGATTGTTTAGGCATTGCTTTATCAGTTCTTTCCAAAGTTCGTCATCATGCTGCATACTCACAAATTTTACGGCCTGTGCACATTTATAACACTTTCTCACTACTATCATTTTAGAAAATTGTCAGAAACGAATAAAAACCATGAACCAACAGCCGAAAAAATATGTGCACAATACAGAAATACTTTGCTACCATACTTTGCAGGTCCAAAGTTTTAGACCAATACGCCTTACCAATATGGCGGGTGAGGTGGGTCTAATAGAGCTTTACTATGGAAAGAAACCGTAAATTTCCACGTTAAAATGATTAGAAATCCTATTTGCTCCAATCACATAAGGCATCAAAAAGTGCAAGGATACTCATTACCCAACATCATATCATATATATTTACAGTCATAAAAATAATAAAAAAAATTGATGCATAAAGGTCCAACCATATGGACTCTTCTTTTCAGAATGAAGCCACTCAATGTATTCAAATGACTGAGAAAGCAGAAAATGTATCTAGTGGAGTGGAGTGGAGCAGAGGGCACAAGAGTTACATTGCCACAAAAACAAAATGATGCCTCTTGACATAAGCAGCAGTGCCTACCGCATCTTGAGATTATGAAGGCAGCATCGTCTCCCTGCAGAATCCATATGTTTATATAATATATATTTTCTCTCCCTTTTTTGTGTTTTAAATTCATGATAATTTTATTTTGGATATATATCATTTTTTAAAAAATTTTGAATTGCTTAATGAAAAGTAATAATCTCTTCTCTTTTTACTCTCAAATCCCATTACCTAAGTTTGAAACTGAATATCTTATTTTCTACATGTACAATAATTATTAAATTACTTAAATTATTGACTCACATCTTATGAGTATATTCTATGTGTTATAAAATATTCTCATTTGATTATGTTCACATTGCTATGATTATATTCATATTATAATTGATTGACATAATTGAATTAATTAATTTTGTACCACAGAATGTTCTTTTGTACAGGCTTACTCACTTTTTATATTCAAATGAATTGAGAAAAAAGTATCACTTTTCTTCATATTTTTCTCTCCTGCCTTGTTTTCTCAGATGGTATCAGAGCTGTTGGGCTCTTTTATCTCTTTTCTTTTCTTGATTTTCCGCTTTGTGCCGATAGTATTGTGATATATTGTTGTTATTGGCCAGCATCGTTCCGGTCGCACACCTGGTGTCTTGCTCCTATTTTCCAAATTTGCATTTGTTCTTTTTTTGTCGTGTTTGTGCTCCCAGTCTCTGCTTTTGCTTCAATTGTTTCTGACGTTCCTGGCCAGCATCGTGCCTTCAGAGTTGCTCTCCGGTAGCCTGCTATTACTGCCCAGATTTGCATTGGTCTCTTTTGATTCTATTTGGTCAGATTTCTTTACATAATATCTTTATTTTTCATGGAAAAATCTGATATTTCGCACCCAATTTCAACTACTCTCAATGGCTCAAATTACATACTTTGGGCTCAAAGTATGCGCAGTTTCTTGAAAGGTCGG